ATTACAATTCAGGTTTATAATTGATTGTTATTGTGGTGACGATAATAATGATGATGATGATGACGGTGAAGGTGTTTGTGCTGTCTTCTCTTTTTTTTTTTCATGATAACAATGCGTTTTGCGGGAAAACATTTTTGTTTTTTCAGAAAAATGACGCACATCCGGTAAAATGACATCGATTAAAGGTAGTGTACTTATTACCTAGAGAGAGAGAGAAAGAGAGAGATAGAGAGAGAGAGAGAGAGAGATAGAGAAAGAGAGAGAGAGAGAGAGAGAGAGAGAGATAGAGAAAGAGAAAGAGAGAGATAGAGAGGTTTCTAAAAGGAAAATTTCGTTTTTTCCCCCTTCTCAAACAGGAAATACCTTGAAAAAAACCAGACAAAAGAGAGAGAGAGAGAGGATCAATTACAATCATTTATCTCTTTTGTTTTTCTATATCTCTCACCCTTCGTTTTTTCTTTCATTTTGTCACAATCGATTGAAATATTTAAAGGATGTTAATGTTGTTGTTGCGACAAAATCGTAAAAGATTCCCTACTACTGTCGAAATTTTAAATTTACGACATACGGAGAAACCCGACGAATGCAAATAATAAAAAAAAGTTTTTGTCTTTTTCTTTTTAACGACTAGCAGACGAAAATTTTTTTATATATTGTAAAACATGCATACGCACGCATCGCATCGAGATTTATTTTTCATTTGTCATTATTATTATTATTATTATTATTATTATCAATTTCTTAGTCGCAGCGTGAAAAAAAACACGCGCGACAACAGTAAAATAGATAAAAAAAAAAAACCATCATCATTATTATTATTAATATTTTTTCTCGTTAATCGGACTACGATATATGTCAAAGTTTGGGTGAAAACTTTTTTTTAAGCGTTTTCTGACAAAGCCTCACGATATGTCAAACTAGGATAAGTATTAGTATTATTATCAGGGTCGAATACAAGGGTCGTCGAATAATACAAAAAAAAAGATAGAAAAAATTGCAATACAAAGTCTTTTTTTTAATTTTTCTTCGGTTGGCAATTAAAAAAAAATTTTCTTTTAACTAAACGAAAAAAATTATCATCATCATCGATTGACGGAAAATTTTTTTTTCGTTTTTCGATTTATAATAACAAACAAACAGGTATCGTTTATGAGATATTTGCATTTAAAAAAAAACATGAAAACGTTATTAAAATTGTGTTTTTATTATTATTATTATTATTATTAATAAAATTCTTTTTTTTGTTTGTTGTTGTTGCGTTTGTCGTCGTCGTCTGCGTGCGTGTTTTGTTTTTGTTTTCGTATAACAAAACAAGTTGAAACAATCGGGAAAATTGTTTTTTTAGTTAACAATATTAGTTCATTATCGATATATTGAACGATTGTTAAAAAAAATTTCCATGATTTTATTTATATATATAAAGTGACAAAAACAATTTTTTTGTTTTTTTTTTTTTTTAATTTCGATGAATGACGGATAATTTAATAATTGGAATTTTTTTTTTTTCTTTTCAAAGGTTAGGAAATTTTATTTTTAAATTGTCGAAATTCGTGACGTAATTAATCCGTGACGTATTTTTTCGGGTGTGAATTTTTTTTTTTTAAATGGGAAAATTGTATTGTAAATAATCCGACGGATGGAAACATTTTTGGGAAAACGTTCGTAAAATAATTAATTATTATTATTATTATTATTATTATCGTCATAGTTTAAGGTGGGATGAAGTGGGGTGGGGGAAGGGAGGTGGTGAAAAATAATGGAGGAAATTAAGGATGACAATTAAACGAAAAAAAAAAAAAAAAAATTTTTTTCCCAATCGTTGCTACCCGTCGATGTAGTTTTGATTTTTTTTAATTATCATTATCATCATCACCATCATCATCATCATCATCATTACTATCATCATCATCATCATCATCATCATCATCATCATCATCATTACTATCATCATCATCATCACTATCATCATCATTATCATTATTACCATCACCATCACCATTACCAACATCATCACATCGTCATCACCATCATCATTATCATCATCATCATCATCATCATTATCAGCATTATTATTATTATTATTTCTTTCGAGAAAAATTTTGTGTCCATTCAGGTTTCAGGCACTTTTTTCGGAGTCCTTCACGAATGGATGCTGGATACTTTTTCTATCGTGTGAATTGCTCACGTTTTTTTTTGTTTTTTTTTTAAAGTGTCTTTATCTTTTTCGAAACGGTTACTGCCACGACAGAAATCTCGTTTTTGTTTTTGAAAAGTTTCATACTTGGGAAAATCTTTTGTCGATAAAGAAAATTTGGAAAAATGATAGAAATCAAAGGGAATTCATTTTTCCAACTATTTACTTGTTAATAAATTATTGATTTTATTTATATATTTATTAATCGATCGATTTTATTGATTTTTTATTTATTTATTTATTTATTTTAATGTTAGGATGACGTTTTATAAAAAAAAAAAAAAATGTCGTACAATTTGATGATTTTGATTGATGTTATCAAACGTTTCGCTATCACTTATTTTACTTCGCATCAAATGTAATCAACTCAAAATTGACGTGGCCCGTTAACAAAATATTCTCTCCATCTTAAATATTTTTCTTTTTTTTAAAAAAAAATCCTTTTAGATTTTTCGAGCTTTTCTTTCTCCCCACCCCTCCCTCAACCAACTCCTCTTTCTTCTCTTCTTTTCCCAGCATAAATTTTTTTGGTAAAGTCGGGGAGACTCGTCGAAACGATTTTTTTTTTTTAAATTTATTCTCGACGCGTTCGCCATTTTTTTTTTTTGTTTTTACGTCACTTAAAAAAAAATTAAAATTAATTTTTATTATTTATAATCTTAATTCGATTTATTATTATCATTATTATCATTGTTTTCAGGTTTGCATAGCCTTCGGTAATGAGAGACAGATCAGAAAGATCGACGAAAAAATCGGATTAAAATGCTGGATAATACGTATTACACGGTGCGAAAAAAAATGATTCAAATATGGCGTTCGGAAATAACTCGAATTGTAAGTTAAAATTCATTTTTTTTTTTAAATTATCCACTCACGCATTCACGCACTCACGCACTTCACGCAAATCATTATCATTATCATTACTTTTTTTTTTGCACGCATCGCATTAGGATCATTTTTTTTTTTTTTAAATTGTTGAGGGTGGTACCAGATCAAAGTTTCAGGTTTACGCATTTTACGAAGACGCACGCAATTATTATTATTATTAATTTATCCTTCTCTGTATTTTTCATTTAATTTTTTTGTTTTAAAATTTTCCGATGGAAAACTTACGATCTCGTTCATGCGTGTAAAAAAAAAATAAATTTCGTGGCATTAGAACTCGTTGTAGATTATCGAAAAATATACGAAACGATTCGATTTTTAATAATAAACAATTTTATGAAACGATTGTATAGAGGGAGAGTGGGAAGGAGGGGAGGGGGAAAAACCATAAATTTTCTCGTTTTTTATTTTTAACGGTTTTCCGAGTAAAAAAAAAAAAAAACCAAATAAATAAGACAATGATAATAATATGACTAATGATAACCGATAAATTTAAAACAATTTCGTTTTCTTATTTATTTATTTATTTATTTTTAATAATAATTACTTAGAGTAATTAATGGCGACGAGTTGTCAATTTTAAAAAATTTGTTTTTTTTTTTTTTAAAGGAAAAATATTATTATTATTATTATTATTATTATTATTATTATTATTATTATTATTATTATTATTATTATTATTATTACTATTATTATTATTATTATATTCGATTTTAAAATGTCGGTGTAAAGATTCGCGATTCGGAAAAGTTTGATTAAAAATGATGGATTTATTTTTTTTTTTTTGGGGGGGGGGTTTACCTCCTTCTCTTTCTCTCTTTTTCTCTCTTTTTCTCTCTCTCTCTCTTTCTCCGATTACCTGTGGGAATAACAAGAAGAAAAAAAAATGAAAACCTTTCAAAATTCTAAAAGTTTTTTTTTTATTGTTTGATCGTAAACTTGGATGATTTGGAAAACGAAAAAAAAAAAAAAAAAAAAAAAGAAGGAATTATTCTTTCGGTCTTGGATCGTACGTGGCTCAAAGGTGGCCAATTTACTATTTACACGTCAAACGCTCCATTAAACTATGTGACGTCAAAACATTTAAAATATTTTTTTTCCCTTTTCCTTTGTGTTTTTTTTTTTTTTTTTAAAATCATGACGAGAATAAGAAAAACACACTACTACTATTCGTATATGCCCTACTACTACTACTACCACTACTACTGCTACGGTTGCCAACATTGCGGGGACAAAAATTGAATTTTTTATTCGTTTTTAAAAAGCCTTTTACTACTATTCTTACAAGACATTTATTTTTTTTTAAAAGTCTTTATCGAATTTTTTACTACCGTGGCAGTAGTTTAATGTAATTTGTTAAAAACTTTCATCCTCATCATCATCATTATCAAAATCGTCATTACTTTTACGTTATTATAGTCGGTAGTTGGTTATTTATTATGAGAAAATGCAAATTATTTTTTTTTTTTAAACTTCCTACGGTTTAAATAAAATATAAAACAATATAAAAATTTTACGGTTTTAAAATATAAAACCGCGTCGATGACGTCATATAAATGACGTAATAACGCTGTCGTTTCGTAACAAAAAAAGTTATTGTAAAATAATACTTATTTAAAATGAGTATCTATGAGCGGAAGTGAAAGCTAGAAAAGTTAACATTGAACTTGACATACGACATTAAGTGTGCAATAATGAATAATTTACGTTTTCACCTGTCGCATAATAATATTATTATTATTATTATTACTATTGTGTTACGTTTGCAAGAGAGAGAGAGAGGGGGGGGGGAATTTGTCAGAGTCTAATTTTTTAACAGTCTTAAAGAGACAAAGGTAGATAACCTTGAATTTGTTGACATACAACACATTAAGAGATTATTAAGAGTAAAATAAATAAGAAAGAAAAAAAATAAATCAAAATGAAATATTTCGACAGTTTTCACGTTTCCATCATCATTTCCGGGGGAAGGGGGCGGGAGGGAAGGTGGGGGGGGAAAATCATTTAAAGTTTGAGAGTTCCGTTTGAAAATGACACCTAAAACCTTTTTCTATAAAGTTTTTTTATATAAAAGTTATTTGGCTTTTAAATGTAAAGAAAAAAGAAAAAAACTTCGACACTGTTAAGTTGGCAATAGGAAAAGTTACGGAAATTAAATTTTTTTTTTTTTTTTGTTGTTGTTAAACTTCCTGTTTATTATGTGCGTAATAATTTTTTTTTTTTTTTTTTTTTGTGGCAAGAACGAATATAATAAATAAAATCAATTGAATTTATTTTCAGGGGTTGGTAACAGTTGCAGCTCATAGCAGTTCAATATTTGTTGGCATGACGCAAGGTTATTCCGCTGTTTTATTACCACAACTATCGAGACCCAACAGTTCTTTACCGGTAACGGAAGAGGAAGCCTCATGGATCGGTAAAAATAAAATTTCCTTTACACTACATCAAAAGATTTTAACGGGTCATTGTCGGTCGGATTTTTCTATTGCCACGATGTTTAATTTGCATTTAATTAAACGAAAAACCGTTTAACGATTTTAAAAACGGAATGATGTTTAATTTGCAGTTGTTACTTTTACTTTCAAAACAAACAAACAAAAAAGCTTCTTCTCGTTCCATAAGTTTTCCTTCACCGCATTTTCCGTTGACATTTTGCTCCCCCCCCCCAAAAAAAAAAAAAAAAACTCGTTTGTTTGTTTTTTTTTTTTTTAAGTGACGTCACACGAGACGTTTTTCCAAATTGAAATTTTCCAAAGCCGACTGACCTAAATTTTTTTTTATTTCATTCATTAAAAAAAAATTTTTTTATTTTTTATTTTTTAGCTAGTTTGGGTGTTATATCAACGCCGTTCGGTGCTCTCCTTTCGGGATTTCTCATGGACGTACTTGGTAGGAAATCTACGATAATTGTCGTGAGCGTTCCTTTTCTCATAGGATGGTTGACGATCGCTTTGGCGACAAAAGTATCACTTCTTTACGCCGGACGAACAGTGAGTGCTTTGGCTTCGGGTAAGTCACAGAAAAAATGGCTGTGAAAAATTAAATCCGTTCGGAATCGTTCCCTTAATTTTTCCCGTTTATAAAAACAAAACAGGTATGACGGCTGTCAATTATTTATACGTGTCAGAAGTATCGAGAAAAGAACATCGAAGCGTTTTATCCGCGTTCGGTCCGGCTTTGACATCACTCGGAGTACTCATAGTATACACCATGGGTTTTTTTCTGTCGTGGGAAAAGACTGCATTGATCTCATCCGCTTTTTCCGCTTTGACCGTTATGGCAATGTTGATGGTTTGTTTCTTTTTAACGCAAATCCCAAACTACTCCCATTCGTAGGAATTACATAATTCGAATTTATTTTTCAGGCTCCGGAAAGTCCGGCGTGGCACGTGTCTAAAAACGAATACAACGACGCTTACAAATCCCTCGTTTGGTTGAGAAAAGATTCAAAAGTGGCAGAAGTCGAATTAAAGGGATTGATGAGTAGTAAAACGGAAACGGAAAACGTCGTCGACAAATCCGGGGAAGATAATATAAATAGAATGAAGATCTCATTGGAAAAATTAAAAGACTTTATAAATTTTGCAAAATCTCCGACCGTTTACAAGCCATTTTTCATATTATTGTTCTTTTTCGCATTTCAAATCGGAAGCGGAATTTACGTCATATTGTTTTACGCGACGCAAATATTTCAAGAATTCGGTACGAAATACGACGAACATCTCATAACGGTCACAATCGGTCTTTTCAGATTCGTTATGGCCATAGTCGGAGCATTGCTCATGTCGAAAATCGGTAGGAGACCGTTGGGAATGTTTTCCGGAACGTGCATGAGTTTGGCTTTGATAGTTTTATGCGGTTACGAATTTATGGAAAATTCAATGTCGTCGACATATCAATTCCTACCCCTGATCTCGATATTGTTCCACGTCGGTTTCAGCATGACCGGATTTCTACAACTACCCTGGATACTCACGAGCGAATTGTTTCCGTTAAAATACCGCGGACTACTCAGCGGCATCGTATCCGCATTCGCATATTTTTTCATATTCATATCCGTTAAAATCTATTCGGATTTGATGCGAATACTCAAATTGGAAGGATTGCTGTGGGGATTTTTCGTTATGTCGTCTCTCGGTACGTTATTCATATATTTTTTCCTACCGGAAACGAAAGATAAATCACTCAAGGACATATCAAAAAGTTTTCAATTAAAAAAATTACCATCGAACGGGAGTTTTAAAAAATTTATCGTTAACACGATGGGAATACCGAAAATTTCCGTGATCGGAAATCAATCGGAAAAATGACAATCGAAAAACAAAAACTTTTTGACGTGTCCTGGAAAATCGTCGCGAAACGTTCGGAAAAACTAATTCGAACTTTTCGCTTATTTTCGCTAAAAATCTTTTTGATTTTCGCGCGGGACGCGAAATTCAAAAAGATTTTTTTTTTTTTTTTTTTTTTTACATAACGGAAATCAAATTGACGAACGGATTTTTTTTTAATCCGTACATGTAAATTTTTAAAACGGAACGTAATTTGTGCACGTTACCGCGCACACACACACACACACACAAGGGAATCAACGAACGATGACGTTTATTGTAATTATTATTATTTTTACCATAAAAATTTACGAGATTAATGTTAAATAGTAATTAATTACGCGGCGACATTGGGGGGTAATCGATTTGCGAACGTGGGAATAATCGGAAAAAAAAAAAAACTAAGGAGAAAACGTTCGCGTGTATATTTTTTGTACAAAAAACAAATTTTTTACCGACAAAAAAAAAAATTAAATTGACGAACGGCATGGAAGACGTAAAAAAAATTTTTCTTTAACAGTTCGGATGGGATATAAAATTCCACCGCCTGTTACGAACGCGATTTTTTTTCTTTTAAAAAATGCGTTCACATCGAAAATTCTCTTGCACGAACAACGGTTTTGAATTTTTTTTTTTTTTAAACGAAAATTCGCGAACGCGTCGGAATTTTTTTTTTTTTTTTTTTTTATCATTTAACGTAAAATAACGATATTGAACGACCGGAATTGAAACAAAACCGGAAATGAATTTTAAATTTTTCATCGTTTTAAACTTAACCCGGGTGATTATTTTTCGCCCCCCCCTCTCGATATCGAACAAAAAATCGATCGATCTATCGATTTTATTAATTTTTTTTTGAAATCGATACCGTCCGCGATATACATACGTCTTCCGCACGTCATGAACTGCCTTCCGGAAACAGTAATAATAATAATAATAATTTGTATATATTTTGTACATTTTTTATTTTATTTTTTTTGTAAAATTAACAATAAACGTTAATTAAATAATTTTTTTTTTTTTGTTGTTGATTCCGTTTAACTTATTATTCATTCCCTTGTGATAATAAAAAAATCGCGGAGGTATTGAAAAAATTTAAAAATCCCGCCATTTTACGTTCCCACATTTAAATTATTTAACCGTAACAGGAAAAAAAAAAAAACAAAAACGTCACGTGGGGGGGAGGAGAGGGGGATTTATTTTATTTTTTCGACGATTTTGTTTTTTTTTTTTTGTCTTTTCGAAATCAGAAAATCGACCGTTGGATAATTATTATTATTATTATTATTATTATTATCATAATGAAAAAAATGAGCGACGAAAAATTTAAATTTTTCTTTTACGCGTCGCCATTTGAATAATAATAATAATAATTACCGTTAACGATTCATCGGGGACATTTTTTTTTTTTATTTAAAAATTAATTTGGATGATTTTATTTACAAAAGCCTTGAAAAAAAAAAAGAAATTAAAAATGTCCTCATTAAAAAAGAAAATTACATAAAACGACCCAAAAATGAAAAATTCGGTTAAATAATTTAAAAAAAAAAAAAAAAAATTAGTTCGTTTGTTTGACGCGCGCGCGTCCTTGAACTTCTTCCGATTTTTCAAAAAAAAAAAATTTTTCCCGCCTTTTCAACCCTCTCCCCCTTCCCCCCCTTTCCCCCTTCAAATCGTTCTAATTTTCAAGCCAAAAAAAAAAAAAAAAATAACAAACCACATCAATTATTTTTTACTCTATGACTTAGCTCAAAAAAAAAAAAGGTCAACGTTGAATCCGCTCCGTTTTGAAAAATTATTACGTCGTTCGCGTCACGTTCGATTTTAACGGTCGTTCAAATTTTTTCGCGTGTTTGTGCGTTTTGGTTTATTTTCCGTTTTTCTTTTTGAAAAAAAAAAAAAAAGTGACGTCGGAAAAATAAATCGAAATTATTTTACGGTAGTGTAATTGCGATATATTTGGATGTAAAATGAAGAAAACGAATTTTCGTTATATTAATTAATAAACGGTTAAAAAAAAAAACAAAATGTCGGTTGAGTTTTAAAAAGTGATTTACGAAAAAAAGTAATTATTATTATTATTATTATCATCGTTTTTGTGCGTGAGTGCGTGATTAAGGGAAGGGGAAAATAAACGCGTCAGAAATCGCAACATATTCGCGAATTTAAAAAAAAAAAACCGTTGCTAATCGTTAACGAAAAAAAAGAATTCACGATAATAATAATAATAATAAAACGCATTGATAAGCTACCGCGACGACAACACGTGAGATATAAACGTTCGTTCGTTTTCATCGAAATTTTTTTTTTTTTTTTTTTGTGCGTTCGACTTCGCCATTAGTTCGGTTGGAATTGGCATACGTCGTGCAAGCTTCGTTGCCTTTTTTATTTTTTTTTTTTGTTTTATAATTTTAATTTAACGGTGAAAAGCAGAAGACAATTATTGGAATAATTAAAAATTTAACTAACGGACTCGACGCCTTCATCATCATCATCATCATCATTATTAAAATTTTTCGTTAAGGGATATTAGGATAGGGAGTACATAATGAGATGGTAAGTCTTTTTTATTATTATTATTATTTTTTTTTTTACGGGGTGTATGTAATATTATTATTATTATTATTATTATTACCGGGTGTGTGAAATAAGGAAATGTCGTAAATTCATTTTTTTTAAAAATAACTTTTTTATTTATTAAAAATTTTTTTTTGTTTCGACCGCCGCCATTATATTTTTATTCGAAACGTTATTTAAAAAAAGAAAATTTAAGAAAAGTTATTTTTAAAACAAACGAAAAATTATTATTATTATTATTATTGTTGTTGTTGTTGTTGTTGTTGTTGTTGTTGTTGTTTTTCGTGAGCGTTTGTTATATAAACAAACAAAAAAATTTTTTTTTAACGTGAGAAAAAAAAATCGAACGCGAAAATTATTTTTAACGGTTTTTTTCTCGTTTTTGTTTTTCGAATGGAACGAAATTTAAAATTTAAAATTTAAAATTTTTTTTTTTTTTTTGCGTTAACGAAAGTTAGAAAAAAGGAAACGAATATGAAAAAAAAAAATGCATCGTCATTAAAAAAAAAAAAAAAAAAAATGTCGAATTGAAATAAAATTTTATTATTATTATTATTTACAACGCGGAAAATAAAGAAAAAAAAACCGTTTTTAATAAAGAATTTATTACGTCGGGTCGGTCGGTTCCGTTAATAAAAAATCATAAAAACGTCATCACGATGAAATGGAAGAGGGGAGGGAAAAAGGTAGAGAAAAACAAATAAAACAGGGAAAAAATTATACGAGGTAGGGAAAATTTTTCCCCGCATTGTTTACATGCGATAATAATGTAATAATAATAGGGGTATAAACGACGCAACCAAAATTAAAATTTATTTCGAAAACGCGAATTTTTTTTTTAAATTTAACGGTCGCGATGACAAAGTGAAAAAAAAAAAAAAAAAACGGAAAACATTGGCAAAATATTTCTTATTGTTTATTGTTATTATCCGAAACCGAAATTTTTTTTTCGTGATTTTCAGGTATTGTAAAATTATTATTATTATTTGTATGTTTTTCGTTGTTGTTGTTGTAAGGTGAAACGTTTTTTATCATTGCCAATTTTTTTTTTTTTTTTTTTTTGTGTTGAATACGACATGAAAATGTAGTCGATGAGGTGTAGTACGTATAACGGTTATTAAAATTTGGTCGTGTCAATAGAAAAAAAAAAAAAAAAAAAACGTTTGCGCGTTGTTTTATAATGGAAAATATAATTATGTTTGCCAAAGTGAAATTTTTTAATAATTCGAGGTTTGTATATATATGTGTGTATGATTTTTCAAAAGGGCAAAAATTAAGTTGGTAACACTTTTTCCTCTTCCCCTTCCCCTCCAAACGGTAGGAGGGAGTTAATTTTAAAAACGTTTTTATTTTTTTTCCCTTCGTTTGGTTTTCGTATGTATTTCGTATGTGTACGTTTCGCAATCGTATGATGACATATATCAATCACGAATTTTTTTTTTTGTTTTTTTTGGGGGGTAAAGGGGGGGAGGTTAAAGGTTAACAACATTAAAATTTTCGTGATTCGATAGGAAAATTAAAAAAAAAAAAAACAAAATTTTTGTAGTCGCGTGTTTTTTTTTTTTTTTTTTTAAATGACTTTTAAATCGATCGTATACGGTGGTAATGACACGAGTTTTAAATGTTTTCGGCCATTTTTTTTTTTCTAATACGTATATATTTCCACCACCACCACCGTTGTCGTCATCATCATCATCATCATTATCGAAAAGGTTCAGTTCACGACTTTCCAATGTTTTTCGGTTTTTTTTTTTGCCCCCTTTTCTGAAATTTTTGACAGCAGTTGTTCTCGTATCGTTATCCACGTCGGGGTACTATACATAAAAAAATTTTTTATTTCGTTCGGATCGCAATTAAATTTAAATTTTGTTATAACGTCGAAATTATGTAAGTTTTCATTTTTCCCTCCATTTTGAGAAGATGGAAAAAAAAATTTTCAGGTCCGCCATTTTTTTTTTTTTTAATCGTTTCTCAGGTGTTTTGAAACTTTTTTGTTCGATGCGTTTTTAATAAATTTCTCATAAATTTTTTTTAAAATTTCGATTCGATTAGTTTATTTATTTATTTATTAATGGAAACCTTGTGTCGATATAAAACAAATAAATAATAATAATAAAAATAATAATAATAATGATTACGACAAAGTAACTGACAAGTATTGAATTTTTTTTTTTTCAATTTTTTCTGATTTTATTCGTAATAAAAAAAAAATTTAGAAACACACGATTAAATTATTATTATTATTAATGCTATTATTATTATTATTGTTTGATATTATTATTATTATTTAAAATATTTAAACAAAAAAGAAAATAAAGAAAATAAATAAAGTTAGTCAAAAATAGCAAATAAAAAAAAAATTTATCTGGTCGTTAGCCTCTCAAGGAAAAACGAATAATAAATTT